ATCCCACCCTGCCTCTGTGGCAGGGTATTCCCTTTTGTTCTCTCTCTCCTTTTGGGTGCTCTGGTTTGCAAAAGAGGTATTGAGTGGCAATCATGTTTGGTCTATAGTCTACTTTCAGCATGCTTCTCCCATCTTGGGAGGATCCTCCAAACACCTTTTATTTGGTGTTCCCTTCTCTATCTGAGCTCCCTTTTCCCCTAGCTTGTGTGGTTGGCCTCCAAGCCATGGAGTAAAATTCCTGGTACTAATCTCGGCCATTCTTGGGTGTTAGTCTCCTATTTTGTTACTTTACGTTCCCCAGATGAATGCAATCTTTCTATGTCTATCCCTTTCTTTCTGAGTCATTTCGCTTAACATGATACTTTCCATGTAGTACAACTTGTATGTAAATTTCATGACTTCATATTTTCTAACAGCTACGTAGTACTCCATTGTGTAGATGTACCAAAGTTTCTTTAACCAGTCATCTGTTCTCAGGCACTCAGGTTTTTTCCAGATTCTGGCTATTGTAAAGAGTGCTGCAATGGACAAACAATTGCAGATGTCACTTCAACTATACTTTTTTTGCCTCTCTGGGATATATTCCCAGGAGTGGGATTGCTGGGTCAAATGGAAGCTCAATTTCTAATTTTTTGAGGGTTGTCCATATTGTTTTCCAAAAGCGTTGAACCAGTCGGTATTCCCACCAGCAGCGAAGGAGTTTCCCTTTCTCGCCACATTCTCGCCAGCACCTGTTGCTTTTGTTCTTGTGGATGTGGGCCAGTCTCTGTGGTGTGAAATGATATCTCATTGTGGTTTTGATCTGCATCTCCCTGATGATTAATGATGTGGAGCATTTTCTCATGTGCCTTTTAGCCATTTGGATTTCTTCTTGTGGAGCTCTGGGAATATCTCGGCGATGATTTGTTTAACCATGGTTTTTTCATTGGGATTGTTTCCCTGAGCTTCTGGTAGTCCAATGATTCTAATGTTGTTTCTTTTGGAATCGTCAACTAGGACTCTGATTCTCTGTAGAGCTATTTTGAGGTCCTTTGCCACTGTTTGTTGTTGCCTGTTGGCCTGGTGCAGCTGATCTTCCAGCTCACTGATTCTTTCCTCAGCTGTGGTCATTCTATTTTTGAGGGCACAGACTGAGTTTTTGATTTCATCTATGGAATCTCTGATCCGTGCCATTTCTGTGCGAAGCTTTCCAATTTCTGCTCTCATTTCTTCCTGTATTTTGTCGATTGTGCGATTGATTGTTTCTTTCATGTCTTCTTTCAATTTAGCGGATATCTGTCTGACTGTTTCATTGAGTTGATTGAACATCTTAATGACTTCATATCTGAATTCTTTGTCAGAGAGGTCCCTAGGGTGGCTAGCACCTACTGAGGCTTCTAGACTTGTTTCCTTGTCGTCTCCCTGTGGCGGGGATTTGCATTGTTTCTTCATGTTGGTGTGTAGGTGTAGGGTTTAGATTTTTTGGTTTGAGTAAACTACTTGCGGCCTCGTAAGCGTTGGCCCGCTGAAAATTAGACCACGCCCACTTTTAAAAGCCTCGCCCACTTCTAAAGTGGCCACACCCCCACGGATACCTGGTGTGTGTCCGGGGAATAAAGACTGGGTGGGGAGAAGAGACCAGCTCGGCTTGCGTGGCAGAAAGGGAGAGGCATAGAGGCTCAGATCCGCTTTGTCTCCGGGAGTCCGGGGACGCCTGGGGGCTTGCACGGTGAAATCCAAGTCCCAGGTTAGAGAAGCGGCGGGAAAACTGACCTGGGTAGGTGGGGAGAAGAGACCAGCTCGGCTTGGGCGGTGGACAAGCTCAGATTTCTTTGTGAAAGTTTCTATTCATTTCATCTCCCCATTTTTTGATGAGGTTGGATGTTTTCTTTTTGTGGAGTTCAACCAGTACTTTGTATAACCTTGATATCAACCCCCTATCAGATGTGTATTTGGCGAATATCCTTTCCCATTCTATAGACTGTCTTTGTATTTTGGTCACTGTATCTTTTGAGGTGCAGAAGCTTCTTAGTTTAAGATAATCCCATTTGTCTATCTCTGTTTTCACTTGCTTGACCAGTAGCGTGTCTGTCTGGGGTATTGATTGGTGATCCAGTCATAGAATGCATGAGACCCTGGATTTGATAACTGACATGGCAAAAAAATTAATATCTTTCTGATATGCTAAAATTTACTTTGCTATTAGGAATGAAGATATTCAACTTACTCTGTTTTTCAATAGATCATTCAATTATTTCACCCCAAGAATTTTGTAACTTTTCTGCTATATAGGGCTGGAGTGATAGCACAGCAGTAGGGCATTTGCCTTGCACGCAGTTGACATGGCCAACCCGAGTTTGATTCCTTCGCACCTCTTGGAGAGCCCAGCAAACTACCAAGAATATCTTGCCCGCACAGCAATGCCTGGCATGCTCCCCGTGACGTATTCAATATACTGCCAAACACACTAACAAGAAATCTCATAATAGAGACGTTACTGGGCCCGCTCGAGCAAATCGATGAACAATGGGAGGACAGTGCTACAGTGCTCTGCTATATAAATTTACAGCAATTATTTTATTATATGTGAATACTTTAATTGGAGTCTTCAAAATTCAGTTTTGAGTTCTTTATTTAAATATATTATCTAGCTCTTTAAGATCCTTTTATTTGTACAAGGACTGAGAGGAATGTGTTAATATTCTCCACTAATATGTCTTTCAATTCTTGCTTGTTTTTTTCCTTGTGCTTTTTAATCTTTTATAGTTCTATATAATCTAAAACCACATTAATCAATGCATAACGAATTTTAGCACTTATAGTTTCATTATAGATTGCTTCTGCAATGTGGTTGTTTTTTCTGCTTAATATTTCAGTTTGAAACTTATTTTATATTAATATTACAGATTCTTCCTATCTTTCCTTCCCAACTATTTCTCTAATTTGCATCTTCAACATTTGGATAGCATTTTTGAGATCATTCTCAAATATTTATAGAAACATTTATTTAAAGGGGCTAGAGAGATAGTATGTGGGAAGGGTGCTTGCCTTGCATATGGCCGACCTAAATTCATTCCCAGCACCCTCTTTGGTTCCCCAAACACAACCAGGAGTGACTGTTGAGTGCAGAACCAGGAGTAACCTCTGAGCATTACTGGTGTGGACCAAAGGCCACACAAAAGAGGAACATCTATTTAAAGTTCTAGTTTGATCCATTTTGTTAATTTTTGCCACTTTATATCTAGCGTATAAATATATGCAATTATATGTGTATATAATTATGTATTGTAAACTCAGTTCTACATTTTGCATCCGATTTACTTTAAAAAATCCTTTTCATGCTCTTTTCTTTGTTTTCTATCATACACTAAGCAGAATGATCTTAAAATAAGATGACCAGGAAGCTCCTTCTGAGTTTTCCTACAACCCTTATGTTTTCCCCATTCTTTTTCATTTTTTGCTTTTATTGAGGGTGGGCACACCCAGCAGAGCTCAGCGGTGCACAAGGAACCTAGACCTTGTGCAGTGCTGGGCATCAAGCTAGAGCGATTGCATACAAAGCAAGCACGTTCACCTCTGGACTCTCTTCCTGACCCCATCTCCATGTTCTAATGTACACATTGGAGATATATCTTGAGCACTTCCTTATCATTTTATCCACCTGCCACTCCTCATAGAGAATTTGGAAAGCATGCAGATTTATTTTTTTAATTTTAAATAAAAAACAAATGAGTTGAGTAAATAATTATAGATTATTTCTAGTTTTTATTCATTGTTAAATTTATTAGATTAGTTAGTTAAATTTATTAGATTAGTTACTAGTGATGACTGTTTTATGATCAAATGTAGGGTAAAGAGAAAAACTAATGTCTCTTATTCTTTTTTTTTTTTTGCTTTTTTGGGTCACACCCGGCAATGTACAGGGGTTACTCCTGGCTCATGCACTCAGGAATCACTCCTTGTAGCGCTCAGGGGACCATATGGGATGCTGGAAATTGAACCCGGGTCGGCCGCGTGCAAGGCAAATGCCCTTGCCACTGTGCCCTCACTCCAGCCTCTTATTCTTGAACTACAAACCAGATGATGTTTAATAGTCTTATTATAAGCACCATAGATCATTATATGTGCAACACATATTGCTTATGCTCTTGTATCACATATCTATATCTAATTTATTTATTATCTTTATTTATTATTATTTGGCTTCATCAGAAAGTAAGCAAGAAGAGCTGAAGAGATATTTCAGAGGATATGGGACTAGCTTTGCATGTGGCTGACCTAGGTTTAATTCCTGGCACCTCATTGGTCCCCTGAACCCACCAGGAGTGATTCCTGAGCAGAGCCAGGAGTAAGACCTGAACACTGATGGCTGTGGCCCCTGCACTCCAGCCCTCCCTGCCCCCAAGACCAAACAAAACAGAAAGTAGGCTGGGATCTTTGCATTTTTCCTGATCTAACACAGTAACTACCACATTAAAACTATCAATAAATATTTGCTGAATGGCTCAATGAATACCAATCTTAGTGAAATCAAAAATAGTCCCTTCTCTGTTCCCTTTCCCCCGGCCCCCAATTTTGTTGTTATTTTTTGAACCATCCTGGTGGTGCTCAGGGCTTACTCCTTCCTGACTCTGCACACAGGAATTACTCCTGGCCTTGCTCAGGGGACCATATGGGATGCCAGGACTCTGAACCTGGTCAGCAAACGCCTTTTGCTCTGTGCCATAGTTCCAGCCCTCTTGTGTTCCCCATCTCATGATTTAGATAATATGCGGCTCTCTGGCTTTTCATCTTTGATCTTCCATATGTATCATATTTATAGTACTTATTCCTGAAATAAGGATAATCATTCTCCTATTTTTCCAAATAACAATGGATGCTTTCAGCATAAACCAAATACCCTTAGAAAAGAATCAGTATTTTATAGTGGCATTTTGTCCACCATTACATTTTGTGTTTTCCGTTAGTATTTTTAGAGTTTAGAATGTTAACTGACAATGCTATTTTTTTTTTACCTTCAGCACAGCCAAGTACACCAAGTGGTCATTTCTCCCTCGTTTTTTGTATTTGCAGTTTAGCAAAACAGCCAATGCTTTCTTCTTGTTCATATCTATCTTGCAGGTAATATTTCTGACTGTACTATTCGATTAAGACATTTAAGTAAAAAATGTAAAAGACTCATTTAGTTTGAAATCTGAATTTAATGTGTGTATATATTAAAACACTATGAAAATGGAGTTTGATTTCAATGCTATTCATTGAGACACTGAAATTGTGTTGAGGACTAAAAAACATGTTGTTGCTGGTAGATTCACTGGATCACACTTCATTCTGATTTATATCATTAATAAGATATTATATTATGGTAACATGTATAAGCACTCTGCCAGATGTACTAATTCTCTGGTCACAGAATTTTTCTTTTTAAATGCTAAATAATATTCCAGCTTATATGTGCATGTGTACATACATATACACACATATATAGGCATCTGTATATTATATTTTCTTTTTCTGTTCATCTACTTATGACCATTTATATTGTTCCATACCTGGACTACTGTGAATTTTGTTACTCTGAACATAGTATTGCAGATATCTCTTCAAGATTCTGGTTTAAATTATTTTTCAATATATTCAGACATGGGACTGTTAGATTATATGATAGTTTCACTTTAAATTTTTTTGGCAATCTCCATACTGTTTTCTATAATGACTTCTAATTTTACACTTCCAGTGTGAACAGTGCTTCCAGTTTTTCCATATCTGTGCTAAACTCACTTTTTAAAAAAAATTATAGCCACTCATTTGAGATAATATCTCTTTGTGATTTTGATTTGTATTTATTTCTCTTATGATTAGTGAAGTTGAACATCTTTTCACGAACCTATTGGCTATTTGTATATTTTGTTCTGTCCTGGAGATTAAACCCAGTTCCCATACATGAAAATCTGACACTTTACCATTGGGTACCATACAACCCCAGTTCTGTATGTATTTAGAAGAATGTGTGTCTAATATTCCCCTGTTTTAAAATTGATTTTTCTGCGTATGTTTCAGTATTGGGTGATAAGAATTTTTTATGTGACCTTATCAAACATTGGATTTAAAAATATTGTTGTCTATTCAATGGATTAATGTTGTTTCCTTTGCTGTGCGGAAACTGTGTTTGTGTGTGTGTATGCATATTAGTTTATTACATAAGCACTTGTCTATGTTTGCTTTTGTTGTCTATGCTTCTGGCATGTTTCTAAGAAATTATTGCCAATTCCAATTCAAGGGGATTTTGACCACTTTTCTTCCAGAGATAGCATCTTTTCAAAATATTTAGATTTAAGGCCAGCAAGATAAATAGTACAGTGGGTAAAGCACTTGTCTTGCATGCAGCTGGCCCGATTCAATTCATAGCACCTTAAATGGTCTCCCAAGCACTGCCAGGAGTGATTCCTGAGTTCAGAGTCAGGAGTAAGCCCTGAGCATTGCTGGGTGTGGCTGCACCCTCCCCAAACCCCCAAACATCAAAAGTAGTAAATTCAAGACTTTCCATGATTTTTTTGTTCATGTTTATTTAGCTTTATTGTTCTTTATTTTAAATTAATCTTTTCCTTTGTTTTTTAAGTTTTCAGTTGAGGTAACCTGGCTATAATAGTATTTACATTCATGCATATGGAACATATATTTACTGCACCTCCACCACCTCCAAAGTGGCCAAGACCTTCTACGACTGTCCTGGCATAACTTCTAGCCCTTATTTTCCTTCCTTCCCTAGCCTCTAGCACTTCATCACTATATTCAAAGTCCAAGGATTGTTGTCATTGATAGCATTCAGTCCTTTGCTTTATTTATGTACCATATCTAAGTGAGATCATCTGTTAGCTGTCCTTTCTCTTGACTAATTTCATTTAACATCTGAACACAATCCTTTCTGGCTCCATCCGAGTTGTAGCAAAAGGCGAGATTTTTATATCTTTACTTATAGTTGAGAAGTATTACAAGTCATCAGATGTATTAAAAAAAGATGTTCTTCTCCTGTACACTAACTACCTAAACAGAAAAATTCAAAATATAAAGTCAGGTATTATTGCCTTCTCTAAAAGTCTGGGGAATTAGCACAGGGGTTAAGGTCCTTGCCTTGAACCCACCAAGTCTGATTTACATCCTCTGGCACCACATATTGGTTCTCTGAGCACCTGAGCACCTGGTCGCTCCTGAGCATAGAGCTAGGAATAGTCCTTCAACACCTTTTAAAGTAATTTGCAAGAATTATTGGGAGCTTCAAAGAGACTCTGTTTTTCTGCACTATGCAAAGAAATAGCACAGTAGCACTGTACCCCCATTGTTCATCAATTTGCTCGAGCGGGCCCAGTAACGTCTCCATTGTGAAACTTGTTGTTACTGTGTTTGGCATATCGAATATGTCACGGGTAGCTTGTCAGGCTTTGCCAAGTGGGCAAGATACTCTCAGTAGTTTGCTGGGCTCTCCGAGAGGGGATGAGGAATCAAACCCGGGTCGGCCAGGCTGGTTGTGTGCAAGGCAAATGCCCTACCACTGTGCTATTGCTCCAGCCCACAAAGAAATAATAAGCAATAAATAAGAAGGCCATATAGAGATAAGCAAGGCATAAAGTTGAGAAGATAGACCTAAAAGCTTTTCTGAATCTGGAGAATTAAATGTCTAATCTAGGACCTCATTTACTCTTGCATCCACCCCAGTCAGGAAAGCTTTAGGTCTCCTCTTTTGGACAGTTGGGAGTCATCCTTGAACATTCTACCTAGGAAACATTTTTCTTTTTCTTTTTTTTTAAGGGACTTTAAAATTTTTTATTTTTAATTTTTTAAAAATATTTATTGACTCACTGTGAAGTAGTTACAAGCTTTCATGTTTAGGTTACAATCACACAATGATCAAACACCCATATCTCCACCAGTGCACATTCCCCACCACCCCGGTATACCCACCTCCCCCCCGGCCTCCATGGCAGACAATATTCCCCATACTCTCTGTCTACTTTTGGGCATTATGGTTTGCAATACAGACACTGAGAGGTTATCATGTTTGGTCCTTTATCTACTTTCAGCACACATCTCCCATCCAGACCGGTTCCTCAAGCCATCATCTTCTTAGTGAAAAAATATGGAAAGCTTCACGAATTTGCATGTCATCCTTGCACAGGGGCCATGCTAATCTTCTCTGTATCATTCCAATTTTAGTGTATGTGCTGCCGAAGCAAGCACCTAGGAAACATATTTCTCTTCGACATCCAATATTTTCTTATCTGTCTCAAAAAGAAGTAAGATTCAGTTAAGATGGCTGATTTTCTAGATTTTACTTTCGAAGATAAGCTGTAGTACTCAGGGCTTACTCTTGGTTCTATACTCAGGGGTCATTCCTTGAGGTGTTTGGGGGACTATATGTGGTGCCAGAGATCAAAATTAGGTCAAGTGAATGGAAGGAAAAATTAGGCCAGGTGCATGCAGTACCTGCTGTACTATTGTTCTGACTCTGATAATAAGCTGTTTCAAGAAGAATATTTTTAAAATGACATAATGACTAAAGGAGGTGGGCTAGTGACTTTTCATTATAATGTTTAGTATCACATTCAGGGGGTGACTTTGATAAACTTAGTCTTTATTCCTTTATATTTAGTGTGTATATTGTTGTCCTGCCCTGGGCCAAAGAAATTAAGGATTTATCATAACATTAATAGGTAACTCTGATTATTTTGCAGCAAATTCCAGATGTGTCTCCAACCGGAAGATATACAACTGTGTTGCCTTTGATGGTGATTCTTATAATTTCAGGCATCAAAGAGATTATAGAAGACTATGTGAGTTTACTGTTAGATAGTAGCTAGCTTCATAATTCCTTATCAGAGATGCATTTTGCTCTTTTTTTTCAGACAGTTGGTTAAAACTGTCATATTTTATAAATTTGCAGCTAATGTGATAAGTGAATTCAAATGTTCAGATTCCAAGTTTTAAATTGCATATATGTATATGTGTATGTGGCTAGAAAGATTGCTAGCAAGATAGCTGTTACAAATAACTATATGCTAAGAGCTGTGATAGTATCTGATAGCATCTTGAGAAATACAACACAACTAGAGGTGAAAATCCTAAATGTCTAAAAAGGGCTGTGCACATGAATTGTGTTGTGAATTTAACACTCAATAGGACAATTTCAAGTGGGTATGCTGATTTTAACAGTAAGGGAAAAGAAAAGGGATGTTTATTATTGGTTTCTGTTTTCTTGGTTACTACCTGCCATGATGGGCTCATTTTAGTAGAGTTTCTTATTTACAGTCCTAATACTTTCTAAAATTGATGGCTATTGTTATCCACATGTTATCCACTATCTAATCCTATCTTTTTTGTTTGTTTTTGGACCACACCTCATGTTGCTCAGAGCTTACTCCTAGCTCTGTGCTAGGAGGAACGGAGATGGGGTGGAAAGGGACCACACCAGGGATCAAACCTGGGTTGGTTGCATGCAAGGCAGGCACCCTGCCTGTTGTACCATTGCTTTGGCCCTAATACTACCAATTTGTAAAAACAAAGTCATCTGCAAAATCTACTTGTTGACATTTTGATAGGTTTACAATATGAAAGAATATCAATCATAATCAGGAGACTTTGGTTAAGTTGGGACAAAATTAAAAATTGCTTATTGGGTCCTTAGTTTTTATGGTATACACTTATACTTATTATAAATAAATTATAATATGTTGACACCTAAGATGTACTTTACTATGAAGTAGGCGCTGAGCTATATATGGTTGTATTTGTTTTCTTGTGGGTGTTTGTGTATTCATTTAAACTAGGGCATGGTAGAGTTGGAATATCAAGCAAAACAAACTGACACCTGGGGCTAGACACTTGGCATTTGGCTACATTGCCTCTCTTAGGTTACATGTATGTTTAGGAAGTCAAAAATTGTAATTGAAATCAATTACAGTCAAAGAGGTTTGTAATTAGGTTTTCTGCCTCTATTCTTAAATCTACTATGATTTATATTATTATAAGTTATTCTTTTTTAACTTTTGATATAATGTATTTTTTTTTACAACAGAAAAGACATATGGCGGACAGAATAATTAACACAAAGACAACAACAGGTAAGATAGTCTTTATATTCCTTATAAGAAAATACCCAGATTGGGGGCTGGAGTGATAGCAAAGTGGGTAGGGCGTCTGTCTTACACTCGGCTGACCCGGGTTCGATTCCCAGCATCTCATATGGTCTCCTGAGCACCTCCAGGAGTAATTCTTGAGTGCACGAGCCAGGAATAACCCCTGTGAATGGCCAGGCGTGACTCAAAAATTAAAAAAATACCCAGATTCACCAAGTAATATATTTTGTAATATATTTTGTAGTATTTTATTTATTTATTTATTTTATTTATTTATGCGAATACAGAAACAAAGAACAAAATGAATTTTTACATTAGTTAGATATTAACATATAGAAATATAATATAGAAAATATGACATTATATTTTATATTAATTATATATTAGGATATAGAAGCTCAATTTCTATATATTAGGAGCAATAATTATGTTAATTAGAATAAAAGAAAATTAGCAAAAAGGGTGGAATATCCAGCATATGAAGAATTCATGCATTCACAAAAAAATTAGAATATTTAGTATTCTCTCCTAGTTCAAATTTTAATATGTGCTGACTTTACAGGTTGGTTACAAATATATTGCTTTTAAGGCTATTAGTGTAGTCAGCATTTTGGCATGTAAAAGCAAATTTTTCTCCTTACGACTAGAAATGGTTTAATACATGTAGGATGGACTTATCCATCCATCTATCCAATTTTTCTGTCTTTACACTATGTTGTAAATATTACTTTCAAGTGTATTTATACTTTATTTTGTTTAGTTCATATGAAACCAATGTATATAATCCTCTAGGTTATAGAAAAGCTAAATTAACAAAAAGAATACTTTATAGAGAAGCATTCAACGTTTGTGGAATATTTTTATTATTTGGATCTTTGCCTAATGCAGTCAAACAATATATAGTTGTCTATATTTCAGTATTACGACAGAAGAAATGGCAGATATGCAGGTGGGAAAAGGTAAGAATATATTTTAGCTTTGAACATGATAATAAACACTTTCCAAATTTAAAGTTACAAGTTTTTATTTGTGAAACACACACACATTTGTTTTTTTGTTTTGGGACCACATCCAGTGGTCCTGAGTGCTTTCTCCTGGCTCTGCACTCAGGGATCACTCCTGAAGGTGCTCAGGGTACCAAAATCTGCTCTCAGGTATTGAGTTCTCTCTTTAGCCCCTCTGTAGAATGTCCAAGGTAATGCTTCACAATGTAGGATAACATTGTTTTGTCCTTCCTTCATAGCCTCAGGTAGTTTAGGTTTTTTGGCTCCCATCACAGTGCTCCCATTCATCTGTGTTTATTTGTAATTTCTTTCTTTGTTCTCTATTGACTTGCAAATATTGTTTTTCTCTTCTCCCTAAGTCCTTTGCATAGTTTATTCAGAGCAATGTCCTTTTTGAATGGACACTAGAAGACAGTATGTGCTATGCTTTTGTTATGTGACTCTCAATGATATTTTTCTCCTGGGCCTCTGTTCTCTCGACCTAAGTCTCAGCAGCCCTTACTTCCTAGCGCCCCCCTAAAGCAGGGTCCTGACAAGGAATTGGATGGAACCAGGGCAAGTGGTAAGCTATGTGCTACCCTGGCATCGAGATGGACCTGGCCAAAGTACCTAATGCTTAACTACAAGTTAAGAGCTTGGTCATGCCACTTAATCTTTGACAAAGGAGCAAGAAATATGAAGTGAAACAAGGAAATCCTCTTCAACAAGTGGTGCTGGGAGAACTGGATAGCTACTGGGGATATTGGTGGTGGGGAATGTGCACTGGCGGAGAGATGGGTGTTTGCTCATTGAGTGATTGTACCCAAAAATGAAAGCTTGTAACTATCTCATGGTGATTCAATAAAATTTTAAAAAAAAGAGCTTCGTCAAGGACAAATGCTGTCATGATCCAAAAAGTAATAACTGGATTCGGACCCTGCTAGGGTTAGGAATGATTAATCTGGCCTGAACGCTGTAGTCTGAGTCTGTGGCAAGATGTTCCTAGGGAAGATGTCCTACAAGCCTCAATGTATCTCTTACTGTGTCCATACAAAAATAAGTCATATTAAGATATCGATTGAGTTACTGGACTGAAAAAAGGAGAAAAACACCTTAAGAGGTATTTTGCACCTGGGCAGTCAGGAAGGGCTTTGTAATACCCCAGGTGGTGTTTCAGCCCTTGAGCCTGATGGCAGTCAGAAAGGGCTTTCTTATGTTGATTTTGCTACCTGACTGGATGCAGTGTCAGCCCAGAGTGCTGGGGAGTTGGAGAGACTAGAGAGCTGTAGAGAACTGGAGAGATGAGAGAGAGGCAGGGCTGCAAGATGGACTGCTGAGAGACTAGCAAGGGGGACAGAGAGAGAAGGATTTAGAAGAACACAGGAGCAGGCACGTGGAGAGAGAGAGAGAGAGAGAGAGAGAGAGAGCACAGTCTGCGAGATGGAGCATGGAGAGATGAGCAGGAGAGAAAGAAGAAGACGGGAATGAGGGGCAGTGTGAGACTAGAATGGGAGGCTCAGAGAGACTGGAGCAGGCATGTGGCTAGAATGGAATAAACGGCATCTGATCAACCAAGCGGCTTGGTCCTCAATTTGTCCACCATCTGCCCCATGACCCGGGCCACCCAGGCTGGGTGAGTGGCCTGAGGCCCCCCAAACAAGGGCGGCTAGGGGGAGTGCCAGGGGGGCCTCTTCCTGGTCGCCCCCTGGAGATATTAAACACTTCACAAACTTGCTCAGGTTATAAGACATGCTTTTTTTAAATGACTAATATCATAGGGTATGTGATCTTAAGGGCAAACCTGGGCTAGATATTGATTTTGTCCTCATCAGCAAATAATTAATGGCCAATGTCAAATATTTTTAATGCAATCCGGAATGTTATAATTTTGAAGTCTCACCAGTATATTCCTCCCCTCCCCCGCTTCCTACGAGAGGTAAAACTGGTGAATTCAATGATTGAGTTTTGCTCCTTTCATTGAAATTTTGAGGAATAAAACATTGAGAGATAGCACTAACTTTCTATTGGCAGAGAAGAACAAAGGTACCGTGGTGAGTTTCTTACTGAGCAGAAGGGTCACAAAGAGTAATTTTAATTTATTCCCAATCTCTTCCATCGGGAGAACCAGTGGATTAATTAGAGCCTGGGCCCAGAATTCTTGTCTCTCTGGATCTTTCTGTGCCATATGCATCCAAATGGTATACTTAATAGAATAACTATTTTATAATTTTTGGTACCAGAGAGAGAACCCTGGGCCTCACTTAACTGCTCTACTAGCAAGCTACAACCCCAGCCTGAGTGGAGCACTTTCTATGTCTGATACATAGAAAAGGACAATGGAGTTATTTTGGGGGTCCAGGGGATAATTGAAGGAAAAGACTGTTTTTAAGAGATGTGATGTAATGGTGGGTCCCCATCCCATGCCCTCGAGGATAACGATAACTCTGTGCTCTTTCTCCTTGTAACAAAGGTAGAAGTCGGAGACATTGTGAAGGTCACAAATGAGCAGTTCCTTCCAGCAGACATAGTTGTGATTTCTTCCAGGTTGGTTCTGTTGATGGGAATTTAAGAAATTTTTGCTGCGAATTAAAAAATTTTAAGAAAACCAAAGGCTGTTATCTCACTCCTTTTACCATCCTATTCTCTACGTTGCAGACGAATGGCTGCATACCTTTCCTGTAAAGCAACAGAGAATAAATATTTTCAGTTTTTTGGGTCAGGCAGTCTCTGTTGTAGATATTCAAATCTGCTTTAGAGCGCAAGAAACAGCAAATGAGTTTGTTTAATTTCCAATAACATGTTTAAAATCACTAACAATTTTTGTTCTTTATTTTTAACAAAGGGAAAACAAAGCCAGAACTATTTATTGATTAGATAACAAAGCTCTAGTATTAAAATCAATGTTTAAAAATCATTTTTTAAATGTGAGCATTTTTATATGTTGTCACAAAATTAAATCCTTTTCTAAGAATTTATTAAGCTGTTTGTTGCTAGTTGGGCCTTCTGTGCTATTGCTTTTGTTTGCTGAGTTTATTTGGCTTCGATGTTTCCCATCTAATTTTGGTGTGCTCCTACTGGAATTTTAGTATTGAGACATTAGAAGGTGTTGTATGACCGCATATGAGACAGAGCAGTCCAGAGACTGCAGGATCTATGGTCTGAGCCAATGAATTCACATGGTGGTGGCTGTGGGCAGTTGGGCGTGGCTGCCAGGGCTTTAGAGAAGCAAGGAGTTGGGGCGATGTTACTGGCCCCCACTTCGAGAAGACCCCAGTGTTCTCAGCCCTACTCTTAGTATTTTCTTTAGCTTGAATACTATGGGGTCTGATATAAGTATGACCACTCCTGCTTCTACTTTTATTCTGCAATTAGCTTGTACAATTGTTTTCCAGCTTTTAACTCTAAGCCTTGTGCTTACCATGAGAGTTAAAGTGTGTCTCTTCTAAGAAACAAGGGTAGATTTTGTTTCTTGACCCATCCAGCCACTCTGTGATTTTATGGGATTATTCATGTCACTGCAGAGAAATTACTGATAGGAAGAAATTTGTGGCAATGTGTCCATGAGGTGTTCGTTTGCTATTGCTGTTTGATCCTTGCTTTTTTGTTTTGTTTTGTTTTATTGGTCACACCTGATGATACTCAGGGGTTACTCCTGGCAGTGCTCAGGGGACCAGGGGATGCTGGAAATATTGCATGGACCTGGGATGGTCACATGCAATACAAATGCCCCACCCACTGGATTATCTTTCCGGAGGCTGATCTTTGCTTTTTATATGAGGCCATTCAGTGTACCTTCCAGAGCGGGTTTAGATTCTAAATATGTTCCCTACTGCTGTTTGTCTGATAATGTTTTTATTCTCTTTTAATTCTGAGTGATAACCTTTCTTCGTAGAAGAGTCTTGGATGGAGATTCTGTTCATTTATTATTTTGCATCTGTCATTCCATTTCCGTCCCGCTTAAAGAATTTCCCTAGAGAAATCTGTGAATCTTTTGGTTTTCTTCCCTGTATGTAAGGTTTTGCTTCTTTCTGCTTGAAGGAGTCTGTTGGTCTTTGGTTCATGCCATTTTGATCACAATATGTCTTGGTGTTGTTCTGTTTAGCTTTACTTCACTTGGCAATTTTTGGCCTCTTGAATTAGTGCTCCCAGATCCCTTTCCAAATTGGGAGAGTTATTATTTTTTTTCTTAAATTTTTATTAGTGAAACACCATGAGGTACAGTTGTAGACTTACAAATTTTTGTGCTTGGGTTTCAGTTATACAATGATTGAATACCCATCCCTCCACCAGTGACCATTCTCCACCACCACCAGTCCCAGTATCCCTCCCATCCCCATTCCCCCCATCCCACCCTACCTCTGTGGCAGGGCATTCTCTTTTGTTATCTCTCTCCTTTTGAGTGCTGTGGTTTGCAAAAGAGACATTGAGTGGCAATCTTGTTCGGACTATAGTCTACTCTCATCACACATTTATTGGGAGAGTTCTTAACTATTGTTTTTTTAACTAGCGTTTCTTCCTTTCTTCCTTTTTTCCCCTCCTGGAATTCCTAGGATTCTAAAATTATTTTCCCCTTGATATGTCAATAATATCCTGAATATGCCTTCATTTTTTTTCTCATTCTGTTTTCTGTTGTCTCTTCTCTCTCTCTTTTTTTTTTTTTGGCTGGTGCTGGTTACTGTATCATTGAATCCACTGGTTTGTATTTATCTTTGTTCATTCTGCAACTGAGACTTGCAACTATATTTTTAGCTCCCCTTACTTCTATTTGAGCTCTTTACTTTTTTTATAAGTATCTCTTCAAGTTTATTAATTTTCTGTTCAAATGTCTTTTTCTGATCACTTAGCATTAATATGATTGTTGTCATAAAGTCTTCGTCAAACAAATTATGAATGTTGGTCACTGGGAAATTTCCTGAACTTTTGTCACTCTCTGTTGACACAACTTAGTTCCTTCATCCTCTCGTTGTTCCTGGTACTCCATTAACCAGCTGCTGCTGCTGAGCTTGGACAGATATCTGGTGGCACTTGGGCCTGGCTCCCCTGTGGGTGCATATGATTGCTGAACCGGTACTGACAGTTCACCTTGTCCTGGGGGCATGGCAGATATGCATGGACTGCTGGACCAGCTGCAGGAACACTATTTTCTTCCTCCTCCTTTGGATTTCATTTGCTTTTTAAAATAGTCTCTCAGAGACTACTTGGACCTCTTGCTTCCTGAAGTATGTCTGTATTGCTATTAGTATTGTGTTTTCTGTGTTTTGTATATTCTGATGGCTCACATTTTCTAGCTTGTTTCCAGTAAACTTTTTGTTTCTATGATTTCTTCTTTGATCTAATGGATGCTTAATGATATTGTTTAGTGTCCAACTATTTTGACTTCCACCCTAGATTTTTTTGTAGTTGATTTTTTTGTAGTTGATGTGTTTGTAGTTGATGTGTTTGTAGTTTATTTTTACCCTTCATTTGTTATCTGAAAAGATGCTTCATATGATTTCTATCTTTATTACTTTATGAACTTTTTTCCCCCTTCAGTAAGTAATCTATCTTTGGAAGTGTTCCATGTGCATTGGGGAGGAATGTGCATCCAACTTTAGGGGCTCATGTAAATCTCTATAAATGTCCATTAAGTCCAGCTCTTCTAATCCTCCATTTAAGGTTCCTGTTCCTTTATTTATTTTCTATATAATTGATTTTTCCAATGATAACAGTAAGGTATTCGAGTCTCCTACTACTATTGGTTTTTGTTAGCATTTCCCCTTAGGTCTATTAAAAGTTGCTTTATAAATTTTTATGCTCCTTTATTTGGTACAAATATGTTTTAATCGGTGTAAACTTTTCTTGATATATTGATCTTTATGTATTATAATGTTTATCCTTGTCTGTTATTAGTCTTTTAAATTTTTAAATCTTTTTTTCTGATATAAGTAAGTATGGCTGTCTCTGCTTTTTTCAAGCTGTCATTTGCCTGTATGATTGATTTGCTCTGAGTCTGTGTTATCACGGACGTTTGAGTGGATCTCCTTAAGCAGAAGGTTGGGTTTCATTTCCCTATCTATCTGGTTACTCTGTGTCTTCTGATTGCTGAGTTTAGTCTGCTGGAATAGAGATGAATTTTAACAGATAGAACTCGATTGCAATGCTTTTATGTGGGATTTGGTATTATCATTATTGTTCTGCAATTTGTCTTTGTTTCTTTGTCCTTCTCACATCGTCTTCTTCTCTCTTCTGGGTGTCTTTCTGTTGAGTTGGGATCAGCTTCCATTTACCATTTCTCCCCTCAATACTTTTGACTCGAGATTCCCATGAAATGCACATCCAAATTTTCGGACTGAGTGGGGTCTCTTTTTTTTTTTTTTATAGAAGACCGTTTAGTACTTCTTACAGAGCTAGTCTAGTTGCCATATATTCCTTTCACTTCTGTTAGTCTAGGAAATTGTTATTCTCTGAATCTGCACGATAACCTAGTTAGACTACTCTTGGTTGTATTTTTCATTCAACTTTTTAGGTATATCACACAGACCCTTCTAGCTCATGGGTTTTTAATCCATAGGTCTGCTGTGAGTCTGATGGAGGTTCCCTTGTTTGTAAGTGTTTGCTCTTCTCTTGTGTCTTTAAAAAAGTTATCTCTTTCACTCATAACATTTTAATTATAGTGTGTCTTGCTGTGTGTAATTCTTTGAGTTCTTGGATATGATATATATGGCTCCTCAGTTGAGGTTTTCTTAGTGATTATTTCTTCCACCAGTAATTCTTCCTCTTTTTTCTTTCTTCTTTGGGAAACTCCAATGATGGATATGCCATTACATAAATGTGCTTTATATTTTTTATAGTTTAAATTTTTAATAGTTTAATAGTATAATTTATAATTTATAGTAAAATTTTTTAAATTTTGTAGTTTAAAAAACAAAATAAAATTTTTTTTATGGTACTTGAAAGTTAACCCTGGTCCTCACAATTGTAAGGGAAGAGTTCTATTATTGAGTCACATCCCTTACCTTAATTAGAAAATTTTTTTAAACAACTATGTTGTCTTAAGGTTATGGTTAATTATTTTTTGTTTTTGCTTTTTGTTTTTGGAGCCACACTCGGCAGTACTCAGGGCTTATTCTTGACTCAGTTAACTCCTGGCAGATGTGGGGAATCATATGCAGTGAGTGCTGTGGATGAAAGCCAGGTTGTCTGTGGGCAAGGCAAGCTCTCTGCCCAAGATACTATCTCTCTGGCCTAATTGTTTAAGTTTTGAAAAATTAATCCTTTGTTTGTTTGTTTGTTTGTTTTGTGCCACACCTGGTAATGTTCAGGGATTACTCCTGGCTCTGCACTCAGGAATTACTTCTGAGGGTCCTCAGGGGATGCTCAGTATCAAACCCAGGTCTATTGCATGGAAGGCAAATACCCTACCCACTGTACTATTGCTCCAGCCTCTGAAAAATATTGATTCTGATACTTTTGCCATTTTTTGCATTGTTTTTGTAGAGGAACAAGTGTTGGGAAGTTCTTTCTTTGTTATAATACTGGCATCTACAAAGAGCTTTAATTTTAACTCAGGGCAATATAGTCTTGACTAGAAAAATTAATATAAATTGTGTTAAACTTTATAATTAAATTGATGCAATAGAATAAAATGAAATAACTTCATTTGAAGTCAAACTTTAATAACAATATTTTAATTCTTTGTGACATTTCTCTCCAAATTATGAGTTTTCATAAGTGAGTTGCATTTGGCATTGACTAAAATCTGGCCATTTTCTTAATTCAGTGCCTTAGCATTTGAATTCCCTAACCATTGAGTTTAGATAGAAATAGGAAAGCTTCAACTGTAATATTTGTTTAAGGGTCTCTGCTTTGCCCAGAGTTGTTCAGAAAGATCTATCCTGATTAAATAGAACTTGGACTTTTGTAAACTGTAACATATCCATTTGGAAAAAGGAAGGTAATTTAAAAAAATTTAATTAATATTTAATTCTGGTCTTTTTCTGAGCTACATAACATCCTCAGTTCATCCTAAGTCACTTTTGTGTATGTGTGTGTGTGTGTGTGTGTGTGTGTGTGTGTGTCGGGGGGTGTTTAAAGAGTAATTGCTCTTATCTAAAGGGGTGAAAACTTCTACAGAGTCATTTTGCAAGATGAATTTTATGCTGGTAAGATAAAATTGGTAATGTCTCTGAACACGTAGTTATAGTAGATCTTTCAACTTTGAAGAACAGTTACTATGTAGGTTGCATTTCATAGTTATATTATTGAGAAATTATGTATTGAGAGAGATATTAATTCATATATTTTAAAAATTTTTTCTTAGTGAACCTCAGTCAACTTGTTATGTTGCAACATCTAATCTAGATGGAGAGACAAATCTAAAAATACGACAGGTAAAGATGCCAAAATCCTCTCAAACACACCTCTCTCCCTCTCCCTGCTTTTTTATGCTTTTGAGTCACACTGATTGTGCTCAGGGTTTACTCTGGCCCTATACTCAGAGTTACTCATGATGGTGCTTGGGGAACATTATGGAAAACCAGTGATCAAACCCAGCTTGACCTTGTACAAGGCAAGAGCCTTACCTGCTGTACTATATTTGAGTCCCAATGAATGACTTTTAGATCCTAAATTTAAAGCCACAATGTCAGACTTTATGAGGTACTACTAATTGGATTTTTTCATGAAGAAAATCATCTCACTACTATTGAGTGGATCAAATTTATCTCACCAATTCTTATAAGAAGGCTATATAATACTCTATACAATATTGTATACCATACATACATATATGTTATATAGTCATCTATTAAAGCAGGACTTTTAACAGGATAATGTGTCACTTTTCCAAGATTAAAAAGAAGAGGTCCTATAAAATTCATGTCACAAGTGATAGCAACTTTTTTTTTTGCAAATTATTTCAAGGCTATTTCTGACTGCTTTGTTAATAAAACAATTGTTATGGTTAAATATCATAACTTGGCTTAAAGGAGAGTTTAAATAAGTTCTAAATGACATTATGTACCAGATTTTTTTAATGTGCCATTTGAACTCTAGGTTGACTTTTTATCAATAAAGGGAGAAAGTTCAATTTTCCAATTAATTTTTTATTAATGAAAAAAAGATATTGAACTTAAAATATTAGTTTGCTTCAATAAGAGAGCTCTTAATTTTACATTTGACTAGTTTTATGTACTTGCTAAGACTTATGCAAAATTTACATTCAGGATGAAAAAGAAAATATGTCATAATTTTGGGGGGCAATGTTTTTATTTTTGAGTCATGCCTGGCTGTGGTTAGGGCTTACTCCTGGATCTGTGCTTAGGGATCACTGGCAGGGCTCAGGGAACCACCAGATGGATATTAAACCTAGGTCAACCCTGTGCAAGGCAAGCACTCTGTCCACTACACTATCTCTCTAGTCTCTATAACTTACTAAAGTAATGTGTCACCTTAGTAGCACTGTAGTACTGTCCTCTCGTTGTTCATCAATTTGCTCAAGTGGGCCCAGTAACGTCTCCATTGTGAGACTTGTTGTTACTGTGTTTGGCATATCAAATACGACACGGAGAGCTTGTCAGTCTTTGCCGTGCAGGTGAGATACTCTCGGTAGCTTGTCGGGCTCTCTGAGAGGGGCGGAGGAATCGAACCCGGGTCGGCTGCGTGCAAGGCAAATGCCCTACCCTCTGTGCTATCACTCCAGCCCATCACCTTAGTAAAAACATATATAAATAATACAGAAAAATAGACTATTTTTACCTCTTTTTTTACCCTTTTAAAATTTTTTATCCTTTTAAATTGCACGTTTATCACCAATGCTAGTTATTGTAATTATTTCTGCCTTTTAAAAGTCTAGTTATACAAAATAGGAGCTAACACCCAAGATTAGTTGAGATAAGTACCAGGAGGTTCGCTCCATGGCTTGGAGGCCAGTCGCACATGCTGGGGAAAAAGGCAGCTCAGATAGAGAAGGGAACATCAAGTAAAGGGTGTTGGGAGGATCCGCCCAGGATGGGAGATGCATGCTGAAAGTAGACTATAGACCGAACATGATTACCATTCAATATCTCTTTTGCAAACCATAACACGCAAAACAATATATATAAATACTCCAATGAAAGCTTGATTTCTCTAGTCAAGAATTAGGAAGGGCAATCTAGCAAATGGAAAATTTTGGGACAATGGTCTTTGTACTCATCAAACACCATAGTAATAATACAGTGGTCTTACTTTACCCATAGCACTGCACTGTAGCACTGTCTTCCAAGTGTTCATCAATCTGCTCGAGCGGGCAGCAGTAATGTCTCCATTGTAAGACTTGTTGTTACTGTTTTTTGGCATATTGATATGTCATGGTAGCTTGCGAGGTTTTGCGGTGTAGGCGAAATACTCTTGATAACTTGCCGGGTTCTCTGAGAGGGGCAGAGGTATCAAACCCGGGTTGGCCATGTGCAAGGCAAATGCCCACCCACCATGCTAACGCTCTGACCCACTTTACCCATACAAGAAAAATATTAAAAGAGAAGAAGCCTAGACTTTCAAATATGCCAGGCTGAACTATGGCAACTCAAGTCCACCATCAGAGTGGTATTGGAGAAATCAAATGAAACCCAGGTTTCCATTCCATAATAAGAATGGTAATGAATCCTACCCTTCTCTACAGTGTCAGAGGACATCATGTGGACACAGTCAACACTCCAACCTCATCCATTTAGTGAGGACTTCAGGGAAGCCAGAACTCTCTCTGTGCCAAATGAAAGCATGTCTTCAAGTTTAATAGGGTAAAGAGTACATGCAAATTGTACTTTTTAAAAATCTTTCTGTTTTTCTTTTATTAATTAAAAAATTTTAAAAAATGTTAAAAGTAGTCTATAGACCAAACATGATTGCCACTCAATGCCTCTCTTGCAAAACACAGTACCCAAAAGAAGAGAGAGAGAACAAGGGGGAATACCCTGCCACAGAGGCAGGATGGGAGGGGGGGGGGATGGGGGGTGGGGGGGATGCTGGGACCCGTGGTGATGGATGACGGGCACTGGTGGAGGGATGGGCACCTGATCATTGTATAACTGAAACCCAAGCACAAAATTTGTAAGCCTATAACTGTACCTCATGGTGTTTCACTAATAAAAAAAAAAATGAATCACCGTGAGGTACAGTTACAGACTTACAAACTTTCGTGCTTATGTTTCAGTCATACAATGATCCAGTACCCATCCCTCCACCACTCCACCAGTGCCCATGCTCCACCACCAATGATCCCAGTATCCCTCACACCACCCCATCCCATCCCCCCACCCCACCATGCCACTGTGGCAGGGCATTCCCTTTTGCTCTCTCTCTCCTTTTGGGTGTTGTGGTTGCAATAGAGGTTGAGTGGCCATCATGTTCAGTCTATAATCTATTTTCAGCACGTCTCTCCCATCCTGAGCGGGTTCTCCAAGAATCCTGTACTTGGAACTTGTGCTTTCATCTTCTGCCTTGCATTAAAAAGTAGCCACTTTTTTCTATCAGAGTAGTATTAGAGAAAGTTATTTAGCTCAGTTTTTTTTGGATGTAAAAAATTATCTAAATAGACATAGAAGAACATTCAATATAAGTGTAACATTAATTTATTATTGAAAAATGTATAAAAATTCTTAGCAAGTTAGAAATAAACAAGCCTTTCTTAATTTGGTAGGAGGCAACAATAAACGCCATCAGTGAATTCTCAGGTTTTTTGTCTTTTAAAGAAATTTCTTGCGAAACTGGTTTCAAGGCTATGAATTTCCTAAACTGTTGTCTGTCCCTGAAGCTCTGTATCATTTCTTCAAATTTGAATGATCATCTAACTGTATTGAGTGTTCTCAGTGAAGGATTTATTTCATTGAGTCTTTATACTAGATTCCTTCTTTCTCTTCTCACTTGTAGTATCTCATTTGATTGATCTACTGAGAATCTTGTGGGTTTTCCTTTGTATTAAACTCCTTTTGTTTTTTTATCTTGCTGCTTTCTGTATTTTGTTTCTGTCTTTGGTGTTTTTATTATTCTGACTATAATTAGATCTTTTAATTTTTCTATTTGGGTCCATTTTCACTGGAACTCTTCTGGTCTCATGAATTTAGGTGCTTGTAATCCTCAGCTCTGGGGAGTTCTTATCTATAGAGTTCTTGATTCCTTTAGTGATTCTTCAAACTTGCCTTCTCATTCTTCAGGAACACTGCTAATTTTTATATCGTTCCTCTTGAAGTCATCCTATAAATCTCCACTTAGATATTCATTTACTTTCAGATTTTTTCCATATAGACCATTGTAGAGGACGTTAGTTTTTATTTAGATGTTTCCCATTTTGGAGCTTCTCAATTCTTTTCCTCAGCTGTTGTTATTCAACTATTGAGATCTTCTATTGAGTTTTTAAAACATCACTCACCATGCTCTTTAGTTCTGGCATTTTTTTGTTTGTTTGTTTTGAGACTACACCCAGTGATGCTCAGGAGTTACTCTTGGCTCTGCACTCAGGAATTATTCCAGGTGGAGCTTGGAGGACCGTATGGATACAAGGCAAATGTCATACCCATTGTATTATTGTTCTGACCTCTCATTTCTGTCACTTCTGATTATAATTTTCTCATTTCTGCTCCAACACTTTCGTGTTCTCTACTGATAGACCGTACCATCATTCCTTTGAACTCATAAATAACATCCTCAACATGATGTCACTAAAGTCATTCTCTAAGAGTTTACAGGGTGGTTGGTAGTGGTAGAGATTTTATTATTATTATTATTATTATTATTTGCTTTTTGGGTCACACCCAGCATTGCACAGGAGTTACTTAAGCTCATGCACTCAGGAATTATTCCTGGCTGTGCTAGGGGGAACATATGGGATGCTGGGAATCGAACTCAGGTTGGCTGCATGCAAGGCAAACTCCCTACCAGCTGTGTTATCGCTCTTGCCCCATATGTTGTTATTTTCACTCTTTGAGCTTTGTGAGCTTCTGTGTGGTTTATCCACTGTGTTTGCTGTGCTCCTGTCTTTCTGAGGGTCAGTCTATGTAGTTAACCCCACTGGAAGTTTCTGACGGATTAGGTGGGGGAATTTGCTCTTTCCTTCCCTGCTGCTCTTCACCCAATGACAGGAGGTATAAATATGTGCAGTATGAGTTATGATGAATAGAGCTGTTTACTATAAGACTTACTCTATAGAAGGGGGCCTGCTGAGATGGAAGATGTCAGGTGTGGAGGCTGCCAGGATCCAGCTGGAAGGGAGGGGAAGGGGAATCTTTTTCTGTTTCCAGAAAGACCCCGAGGATGTCAGCTTCACCTGCAAAGATAGATGAAAATGCAGAGGGTTTGAGATATGGAGGTGGGCCTGTTGATATGATAGAATTTAATTTTAGTTTTCTTGAAAACGGTCCAAACTGTCCTATAGAGACCAAACCATTCAACATTCCCACCTACAGTGAAAAAGGGTTCCTTTTCCCCCACATCTATACCAGCACAAATTGCTTTTATTCTTTTTCATGTGTGTACATCTCTCCTCACTATTATGAGGTAATATCTCATTGTTCATTTGATTTGCATTTTCCTGATGATAAATATTATTTTTCCATATACTTATCAGTCATGTATCTGTATGTTTTTTATTCTTCTTTTTCTATTTTGTGTGTGTGTGTGTGTGTGTGTGTTTGTCACATCAGGCATTGCTCTAGTCTCACTACTGCCTCTATGCTTAGATATGACTCCTTGAGGGACCACAAAAGGTGCCGGAGATTAAACCCAGGTTGGACATGTGCAAGGCAAGCACCCCATGTTATTACTCTGGACACTTTTTTACTTTTCAGTAAACCTTCCATTTTCAACTGCAGTAAGGTAGAAATTATACATAAAATGTAATTCTGAGAGGTCACTAAAAATCAATAACACTATCAATAAATTAAAATGAAATTCTAAAAAATATTACTCACAGATAGGTTGGGTAAAGAAAAGAATCAAAATTCAAAGAGAACAGGCAGACAAAACAAAAATTAAACATATGATTTTAATATCACATTACATGTCAGATCAAACTACTGTTCAGTGGATTAAAAAGCAGGACCCAGGGTACCAGGAAGAGTTTAGAGTGAGAGCATCTGCCTTGTAAGTAAGTGGCCACAAATTCAAGTTTAATTCTTGGCCCCATCCCACTGACCTTAGTGAGATACCAGAAACTCTTTTGTTTGAATCCCCAGTGCCATGACGAAGTATGTAGTCTCTGGTACCACATCATCACAAAAAAATTAAACCTAAAAAGAAGATGTAAAGGTAAATTAAAAATTAATTAAAAGTAATTGAATTATGTCTTGTCTACATGAAATACTTCAAATATAATGTTTTTTAAGCATATAGAAAGTAAAATTATCATGAAAAGATCAATCCAAAGAAACCATGAGTGACCATATTAATATCAGAAAAAGTGTATGTCAGAGAAAACAAAATTATTCAAAAACAAGATCATTATATAATAAAAAAGGTTGATCTACCGATAGAGTAGTAATATTAATATTATGTATCATAAAATTGAGTGGTAAAGTACATAAAGCTAAAATGAATAGCACTTAAGGAGGACACACACATGTTATTCCACAAATATAGTTGGAATTTTAGTAGTCCTTTATTATAGTATGTCACTGTCCTGTCACTGTTACTGTCCTCCCGTTGTTCATCAGTTTTCTCGAGCGGGCCCAGTAATGTCTCCATTGGAGACTTTGTTGTTACTGTGTTTGGAATATTGAATACATCATGGGTAGCTTGCCAGGCTCTGCCATGCGGGCAAGATACTCTCGGTAGCTTGCCAGACTCTCCAAGAGGGGCAGAGGAATCGAACTCGGGTCGGCCATGTTGGCTGCGTGCAAGGCAAATGCCCTACCGCTGTGCTATTGCTCCAGTCCCATACTATATTATAGTATAATGTTATAAAAAACCAACCAAAAACATAAACATTTGGAATAAAAAATTTGAATAGCCCTGTACATACTAAAAAAGTTAAATTTATAATTGAAAACAAATTTGATAACAGCACCTAGTTTCTGTTTGCCAATCAACACAGAAAAGCTGCTAAACATTTCATTCGTAAGTTCTAGTTGTGATACATACTTTTTTATAAATTAAATTTGGCTTCAAAGCTTTACAATTGAATCTTGCTAAAATTTTAAATCTAGAGTGTATTTTAAACCATTTGCTAATTTGTCTCAGCATCATGAGACAAATATGGTAATTATTAATATGGTAAGTCTTTTCTTCCTTTATTTTTCAATGGGCAGGAGTGATAGCACAACAGGTAGGGCCTTGCGTGCGGCCCATGCGGCCAACAACACGAGTTCTATTCCTCTGCCCCTCTTGGAGAGGCCGGCAAGCTACCGAGAGTATCTCGCCCTCACGGCAAATCCTGGCTAGCTACCTGTGATGTATTTAACATGCCAAACACAGTAACAACAAGTCTCACGATGGAGATGTTACTGGGCCCGCTTGAGCAAATGGATGAACAACGGGAGGACAGTGCTACAGTGCTACAGTGCTATTTTTCAATATATCACTTTTGAGCATGTGGGTTTGTTTTGGCTAGTAAAATATATTTTCCTCTTCTAGAAACTATTTGTTCATGTTGCTTTGTTCATTTTTCTACTGGAATATTTACTTACAGGATGGATTTATGTATTTTTTTCATATTCTTCATGATTTATTGCCAGTGTTTTCTATATTAGCAACTCGCTCCTATATTTACTTTAATTTTTTGATGAAATGATAAAAGTTCATCCAGATATGAGGG